GGGTTCGTACGAAGGAGGAGTGGAGGGGGTGGGTGGTCCTGAGGGCCTTCGTCGTCCTCTTCGTTCTGAGACTTCCTCTACTTCCTCTCCGGTCCATCGTAGTAGAGGGCTCCTCTCTTCGCGTGTGAACGTCGTTCACCTTGTATACATCTTCGCTTTCAAGGGTCGGTCGCAGAGCGGTACTACGCCTCGACCTGATCCTCCGGGATCATTATGTCGGGCGCCATCGACAGATCCTCCGCAATGTCCTCGTCCTGGCCGGAGTCGTGGCCGTGGCTCTCCGAGTACTCCCTATCGTCCGCCTGATCCTCCTCCGTCTCCTGCTCCAAAGGACCGTCCGGCATCTCGCGCTTTATTAATCTCGCGTGCTTCCCTCCTTCCGGACTCTGGCTCTCTTGCTTTATGTGCACGGCCGGTTCATCCAGCGGCGACCTGTTGAATCGAGACGACACGCGCGAAACGTGTTGTGTACGCTCAGTGGAAAACTTGCTGCGAGCGCGTGCCCTCGTTCTACGCCGGGATATGTTTCATAGAGCGCGGCGGCGGTATTTTTTTTAGCGACACGCCGCCGACGGGAGAATAACGATTTCACTTTCCCCGGGGATTATTTCGCGGCGCGGTTTCAAGCGGTTTGTCAAGCTGCGACGGATAGTTTGTGTTTCGCGAAAGAGCGGCACGGTTTTTTTCACGTATCGCGCGCGGAACGAACGCCCGGGGAGTGGGTAGTCGCGTAAACCGTACGTGCGGGCACGCGAGAAAAATAAATCCCGACGCGATGCCGAGCAACGGACGGTACGACATTGTTGTTTTTGCAGAATATTTCGTAATTTCGCGCTAAAACCGCGAAGGCCGCCTCGAGAAACGTTATACTTTTCAACGATGCCGGAACTGAGGCGAGTAAAATAAGAGAGAATAGTGTCTTGAATTCGACAGATCGGCAATATCGTTGCGAAAGATGAGATAATGCTTCGAGAGTTTGCACATGAGAGTTTCATGGGTGTATACGTGTCTAACGCAAGAGTTATCGTGCGGATCCTACCGCGCAAATGCCACTTACATTAAGTCATTATGAGGTAACACATGCTCCTTATCGGGACTCGTCGCTGTCGACGTGCACATCGGATTGTTCAAAAATCCCATGTTAGACTCCCCGAGTGCCTGGAAATACTCAAATTGCATTAGATGGTTAGTTATCGTTGATTACGTCATGCAGTAACGAAATATTAATAACTTAGCTTTCATATGTCGTAATAGGAGGAGAAAAACATTAAGTAAAATTATCATTCGCGTCATGAGCTGTTGACACAACTGTATGTAACTTTACTTCTAGTTGATATAGTCGTTTGCTAATCTAAAAAAAAAAACTGACGATACGAGGAGGAATCGCGATACTTCTCATGAACTTCTGTACTTTAGAGATTAGTTGTTAATAGTTACCTGCAGGTTGGCATTCAACGCGTCACCGTACATAGTAGGACTGTGCGTTAGCGTCGGACTCTTCGACGGGACACCCCTAGATATTGACAGAGAAAAGTGCATTAATGATATTCGAAATTCGGCCACGAGCATGTATTTCCTGAAACAAAACGCGTGTATATGAGTTTCCGTTAATTGTGTCGATGTTGGGACGAATCTGAGAAAGAAGGGGAAGTATAGAAGTAGGGATATACATGGTGTTTATGTGTCTGTGCGTGTACTCGAGTCGTAATTATGTAGACGTATAAAGATAAAAAGGGAAAAGAGAAAGATAGAGAGAGAGAGAGAGAAAGAGAGATAGAGAATAGACAGAGAAAGAGAGAACGAGAAAGAGGTGTACAGTGGAGAGAGAAGAGAGACAAAGAGAATTATAAAAATATGAAAAATGTATACATTTAAATATATCGAAAAAAGATTAAAAAGAGTGGAAAAAAGAGTTCGAAAACCCTTACCTACTTACACTGCTTCGTATCGTTTGCCCACCGCACTCGTTTCATCGGTGATTGAGTGAGATTAGTTAAAAGTTAGAGAAAAAGTGTTAAAAAAAGCGCTCCCGTTTCAAAACTTTGTAAATAAAAGATCATATATATATATATATATCGACTCGATTTTTCTTTCTCTTTATTTTTAATGTAGCACAGCTTCGAAACAAATGTGTTGCTTATAAACGGCCATCAGATTACCTGGGCTTACCTTTCACGGATTACCTTGCGATTTACATAAGTAAGTACTTGAGCAGTATATTAAACGGGGATCGACCAGATGTCCTGTTTTTCTAGCGATTTGCGAAGAGTACACTTTTCGTAATTTTTCATAAGCAATTACCACTGAATAGTGATAAATATATCCAGTCTTATTAGTGTACATTGTCGGACATCTTGTTGCAAGAGATTTCAAGGTGCATGCAAAGAAAAAGATGAGAGAAAAGATTTCCTGTGGTCGTTTATCAAGCAACAAGGAGCGCTGCATAAAGAGAAAAATAGAGAAGAGATAACGTGAAGAAGATAGAGATAGAAGAGAGAAAGGGTGATAGAGGAAGAGAAAGAGAGAGAAAGAGACAGAAAGAGAGTGAAAGAGTAGGAGAAGAGAAGAAAGAAGTCGAAGAGAGAGAGAGAGAGATTGAGTAAAAAGTAGATAAAAGTTTAAAAGGTGTTAAAATCGAATAGTAGAAATTTCTAAAATTATTACTATTAAACATTATTGAGATTATACTGAATCCATGTGGTACCTGATACAAGATGATGCGCGATGATGATCGAAGAATTCCACCCGAGGTTACAGTTGTAGCACACAGTATACACAATTTACACATGCGCGAGTAGCCCTGACGTACATATTCACTCAACCCAAGAACCATTCGCTCATTGCGGAAGCAGTGATATAAGATACTTTTGCGATTCTCAACTCTATTTATCCAAGGCGTTCGATTTTCAAATGCTTCGAATCTCAGAGGAACATTGTTCTGACGCAGAAAGTCACAAATTCCAAAGAATTAACGAAGATTACTGAAGAAGTTCGTTAATGAATAACTAATGTGAAATCATGAAGTTAAATTATAAAGTTGTAGAATCTTCGAGAATCCAATTTTCCAACAGAGGCGTCTAATTACATTACTTTGGTACAGCACATTAGTAGAGAATCGCACAGACTGCAAAGGAAAAAGACCGCATTCGATAAAAATTGAAGAAACGGAACTTCCCTAGGACGATACGCTATCACGTCACTCTGTAGGGGGATCCAACGAAAAAAAACAGCGAACACAAAACGCAGTATAAACGTCTATCAACGTCATTCGTTTGGCGATTCGATGCTCAAAAGAATGGCAAAGTAACGTCTGCTATTACGGAGGAGCGGAACGAAGACGGAAACGGAAGCAAAACTTCAACACAAAAGAACGCTTGCCCGCACAAACACCCCACTTTCATACGAGACACTACGAACGGCATTACATTAAGCACCATACATTTATAAGCAGTGTTTTCAGTGGTGGGACAGTTTATGGGCCTTAATCGAGGAACGACTGTTAAGGACCAAGGTTCATGCGAGCAGTCACTAAACATGTTAGGGATCCTGCAGCTCTGACCAATCGTCCTGTTGTTGGGGTGTTGCAGGACCGTGCAGGATTTTCAAACTATCACGGGGTGCAATAGCCTCGGGCTACAGTTCTAGTAACGTATACGGGGATTTCCTATTGACTCTGCCTTGGACGTCATTCGCAAAAGTGTGCAAGATTTTCTCTCGGAATATAGGATATTTCTACGTGGAACTATCGCGCACGTTTTCTCTGATGATGGACTCTGACCGACTCGCACTCTCGAATTCTGAGTTAGCGAACGAAAAAAAAATGAATTTGAGTAAGACTAAACCATGGAGTGATTTTTTTTATTTCAGCTATGTTTGTGAGAAGTCTTAATCTTACAAGTAATTGGTATTTAAATTTTCGATGTTTCATGCTGCGATTGAATAAATTAATTAAATGCAAATTCTTTAGAAAATGCAACGGTAGTCAGAAACAAGAAGAAAAGAAACCGTTGGAAATTTTCTTTTAATTCTCTTTTATATGTATATTCGGTCGTTTGTGAAATAATTAACTGTACTATGTATGTTTCTCGCATCCATACAATTACCTAAATAATGAAAAAGTAACGTACGATTAAAAAATCAAACAACGTTGCACACTTCTGTCAAATAAACGAGCAAAGTAGTGGAGTGGTGCTACTGTCCAGTTTTTTTTTTAAGGAATCGGACTTTAAAGGCGCTTGAGGCAGGCATGATGCGGAAATCATTTCTAGGGGTATTGGATAAACTGCATAGAGCTATTTCCTGTTGCCCTGGTATAACATATATATCTCTGAACTGCAATTGTTTAGAATTGGAAGAAATTTTTACTACGCAGAGAGAGGGACATTATTTCATTAATGTTTTACAGCTGATTATGTAAAATATAATTAATTTAGATAACAATAATTTTAATCTATCGCATCAGTGTTGCAGCTGTTAATATATCATAATACATAATGCTGAAATAAATATATTTAAAGTATGGCACACAAGAGTGCTGTGATCCAAGTATACGTGTAAAATTGTAGCATTATATTAAATTAAAATGTACTCTTATATTTTTATGAAATCAAGTGTGGTATATAAAGCGAATAAAATATCAAAACAATGAAATATTTTATTTGAAACCTGTAAATTCCCCCGAAAGCATTATTTGTTATATTTACGTAAGTCCACGTTTCGCTCTGATATCGCTGGAATCTTTTCATTTAGTCAACCAAGATCTAAAATGAGAGTTATACCGTTCGATGGAACAACGATGGAATGTAATGAAAGAAATTCGCCCTTTCGAAGAGTTTGACGCGATACTCCGCGTCGTAAGATCGTAGTAACAGCTGCAAACGCACCGTATTTCGCGCCGAGCACGCACACAGTCTCTTCCAGAGGCAGCAGGTCGGATAGCTCATTTAGTGGTTCAATTTGTAGACAACGACCAAGCGAAAACGTCCCGGTCGCCGCGTTTATAAAAAAGTACCGCGGTAAGGTCAGAACGTCGCGCCAGCCAGCCAGCAGAATTCTAAAAAGTGATAGTGCTTACTGTGCGGAGAGGTGGGGTGGAGTGGGTGATGGGGTTGGGTCATATTTCCTGGGGCGGCCGCGGGACAGATGCCGCCGCTTTACGAACTCGGCGTCGTCCACCATCCAGAATGACCCGAAGTCGTCCTCATAGCGCACAAAACACTTGTGCAATGATAGATTGGTGCGGATCGCGTTCTGTATACACAGACAAGACCACCAAGAAATAGAGAAAAAGAGAGTAAAAAAGACAAGGTTTCTTGTTTCGTAGTTGTTCGCGCAGTTTCGCTTTTCTTTTCGTTCTTTCGTGTTCTTTCTTTGTTTCTTTTTGCGCTCGGCCCGCACAACAGCAGGGGCCTGATTACGTAAGCGCGCGCAGTCGCGTTTACGTGAGACCCAGACGCACCAAATATCGCTGGCGCGTCTTGCCGACGGCTCCACCGCTCTCTCTCTGTCTCGTAGCCGGGACAATACTCGAGTGATCTCGGCATGATCTCGAAACGGTCGACTTTTAGAGAGAACAAACAGCAGCACAGACTCGCAAAGAGGGGGGGAGGGGCGGATAAAAATCAAAGAAAATAAAACAGAGACGTAGTAATAACGTAGTAAAGGCGGCTCCTCTCAAACCTCTACCTGACAAAGTGCAACATTGCGGTTCACACTCTGTTCCGGGTAATTCCGCTTCCGGCTTCCGGGTTTTCGAGACTAGACTTGAGCCAGATACTTGGCCTCGCCGTTCTCGATCGGGTTAGTCGCTGCAAAGCTGACATGCTCGTTATGAAAGCACACACGAGTAGTACTACGGATTCCCATCTCCGAGCGAGATTAGCATTTCTAAACTCTCTTTCTATCTCTTTTTTTTTTTTCTTTTGCTCTTCCATTCATCTGTTGCGGCTCTTTCATCGGCGACGCACTCTCACGCACATCCACGCACCCACCAGACTGCCGACTACCATCACACGACGACGGGCAAGTAAGATGTTCACACACACGCGGGTTCAAACACAGTGTTGACGGTAGTTTCTCGAGCATTGATCGACATTAGCGTGGGCTTTGGAATTGGAAAAGTACGTCTTACAAAAGAGAGAATCCAAATGCGGATCGAACTTGTGACTCCCGACTGAATGAACAATTACTGAAAGGTCAATTACACGTCTCTCGAGAAACTGCAAGTTAGCAGACAAACGTACAGACAGACGACACAAGCGACGTACAGTAAAAGTTGTTATGGCGTTTAGGTGTATAAAGAGGTTTATACACACACAGATCTATACGTATGAATGCGCACGTATCAAGTACAAACAGGTACAGTACTATGAAGAGAGATGTAAAACAGGGAGCACGACGTAGATATCGTGAAGGCGATCAAGAGTACATCGTATGATTAAAAAAAAAAAAAAGAGAGAGAGAATGCACAGGAGAGCGTGCGTGTATGTGCGTATACATACATACGAAGGCCGTAAACGCACTGATACGTGCGTTTGCCTTTTTAGGTCGCATATATAAGTATATATATATATAATATAGATGTAAAACAGATATATATATATATTAAAAATACACAAATATGTAAAAAGAGCTATGTATATACGTATAAAATATAGAATATTATATAAATACTCTTAATGTATATATATATATAAACATGTGTTATATAAATATATATAAATATCGATGTAGAAATGTAAAAGGTATGTAAAAAGTCATATATTGATATAAAATTGTAGAAAATTGGCAGTATACGTATATGGGGCTTGGGGGTAGGGGAAGGTCAGCGGTACGACTATGAATATGATAATAAGAGTAAAAGCGGAGAATATATATAAGTGAGTATATATATAATATAAATATATATGTAAAAAGACAGAGAAAGAGAAATATAGATATGTAAAAGGAAGATTGTGGGGGTAGACGGTGAGATCGTAGGGAAATTTGTGATCCAGAAAGTGCGTCCCCCCCGGTATGTTCGGGGAAAAAGTAGGAGAAGGGGAATTTCATGGGCTTCAGTCCGTTGGTCTTCCGGAAGTGGTGAGAGATATTGGTGTGAGAGAAAGAGATAGAGAGAAATAGTGAGAGAAAGAGACGAAGAGAATAAAGAGAGTAAAAAGCGCGAGTTGTAGTTATTTTTCTGATCGGTGGGCTGGGGAGGGGCAACGTACCCGGTCGTGCTGCAAGCGCGCTGTGGGCGTCTCTTGTAAAACTCCACTTCGTCCACCGTCCATACGGCCCCTTTCACGTTTTCGACTCGCATGAAACATTTGTGGAGAGACAGGTTGTGTCGCACTGCGTTCTATACAAAATAATACACAGACTAAATAAGCAACGCAAAAAACGAACGAAGCCAACTCAATCACGGCCCCGGTAGTCGAAGGGGGGGGGGGGGGGCGAAGGGGGNGGTCGAAGGGGGAAGAAGGATCACGGTTGTCGATGGCACATGTGTATGTGTGTGTGTGTGTGTGTGTGTGTAGAGCTTTGTGTTGCGCAGGCAGTAAGAGAGTCCTCGACATCGGGTGACGATGACCGGTCACGCTGATGAGGCAAGGATGGATGATGATCGTGAGACCAAAACTTAAAGTGGAATGTCGCTAAGTGAGACGTGCGATATTGTGCGTGTGCCGTATGATTTGTCGGGGTGCCTGAGCAGCGTTGCAAATGGTCGCGAGGTTACAAAATACATTCCGTGAGAACGTGACGGCAGACTGATCGAATCGATCTTTCAATTATGTTCCATGTTGTATTAAAAGGTATGTATATACAGACTGCATACTGTTGGAATATTATGTATAAATACATATTTAGTATTGTAACAGGAACGATGTAATTTCACTCGAACGCAAGTTGTAACATATTCGTTGCAAACGCGACTAGATTGAAACTTTTGCGTGATCATAGCCTCGATCTGCAACTTGGAGATTTTGTATTGCGTTATTTTACGCCCCATCTTCCTTTCATACAGCGGTTATTAACTTAGTTTAGAATGACCTGTCACAACGCTACTCGTAAGAGCTCATGTCAACCATCTTTAAAACTGCGCGAAAAAATATGTACAACAAAATTGCAAAAATGTCTTCTACCGTGTGTACAAAAGAAACAACGCAACGTGTACGAAAACAGATATTTTTGGAAGAATATGTAGTGGCTGTAGTCTTTATTTTCTGTATAAGAGAGATGTTTCTCTATTTATGTTGTATGACACAAGTCACACGAGAATAGCTGTTCCATTTTCAATCTGGAATGTAAAGATTAATTTGACGTTCATCCACACTTGCTGCTTTGCTAACCGTGCGTCATTATGCCTTCATAATTCAAAGATGGATGCAATGGCTACTCATCACCCTTGAAGAATGTAAGCGAAGCTGCCACCTTAAACTCAAGTTTGCCTCGCGAACTTATGAATGTTGCTGCGTCAATTTTGCTTCTCTTTTAGCACGGCATTGCGTGGCTCTCTCTCTTCAAAAATAAATTACGCAACTCAATAAACACCTTCCGTAGTATTTTTTGCGAAAGCTGCTCGTCGGGGCAAATATAAAATAGAATTTCAGAGAGGCGCTAAGCAAATCAATGCGATAATGCGAACGGATATAAATAAGTGAATAGTCAAGTAAGCAGCGCAAATCACTATTGAAGTGCGACCGTATTGCGTCTCATTTAATCTATCTATGAATGCAATTACCCAAGCAGCGCCACTAATCTCATTACTTGAGAAGAGGCCAAGAAAGTGTGTGTTTCAGGTGGCAGCCGATATACAGAAATCGGAAGATTCGCATCGCGTGTGACATACACAAAAAAATAAGAATAATTAGAGGAGGTCTAATCAACTGATATAATTGACAACAATCAAAACGTGAGACGTCCGCTGACGAAATCGTGACGACGATTATGTTGACGATGATGACGGTGATATCTCTGTTAGCACAGAAGGAAACCGGCAATTAAGAGATCGCGAGATGTCGAAGGCCGCGGGAGAACACAATAACGAACCAAAATGATTAATCGAAAGAGACACGGTTTGTGGCATTCCTTTATCGTTAATGCACAGCTAGTCATCTAAAAGTCTAGGGGCAACGACAACAATTATATTCATGCCGCAGGGCCGAATAAAATTCGACGGGGCCGCGTGATGCGACCGCTTGCTGACGCATAGCCGGCCGCTGTTCATCGCTGACGAGCGCGTCGCTGGCCTCTCTGCCCCTCTCTCTCTCTCTCTCTTTCTCCTCTCTCCTTGGCCCGCTGCCGCTCCTGCTCGCTGCCTGGCAAACCTGTTTGCGTTCTTATGTTTTCATGTACACATAACCATGCGAGGCGAAGCGTCATGGCAAACGTCAATTACTTTCACGCACACTCGCACACACGCAAAAACGCACGCGCGCAAACACTCTTGCCAACAAGCGGATTGTCACGTCGGCTTACAAATCGATCATGAACCATCGGCACGTTATATTCGTTGTTTTCAGATACCCGTACGGTGATGTGGAGTGTGTTAATTTTGGTAACGATCCGTCAGCCGTTTAATCGGCAATTGCTGTCCGGTCGATTTATTTCTGACTAAATAAATGACGATGCGTTCCCGATCGTCCGATCCGTAATTCTTCCCGCGTCGATGAATGTAGTGACGCGTGGAGATGTTAGAAATATCGTGAAACAATATTGTCTACGGAATTGATTTTTTCGACAAGAAACGCGCGAATTCTCCTTCTAATGTTAGCGGACAAAGCAATCGCCCGTAAGAACTATTCGATGGAAAATTCGATCTACTGTTGATTTCGATCATTAGTTCGCTATTGGAGTAACCGTATAAATAGGTGTTATTTTTCGACCGATTGTTGGCATCCGATCTTATTAAGTGATCCTGTGTGAACGAAGCAAAACAGAGAAGAATATAATGAGAGATGGCTCACAAATGACTCGTAATAATACGTCATATTCCACGTGTTACCAGTTCTCCCCCCTAATCGAGAAAGCAATACAACTATCATTACCAGCTGGCCTGCCGGGCACGTCACTTAGCCTGTTAATTCAAATCAATACATATAATTATCCGAGATTCTCGAAAGCTCATCCTTTCTAGTTAAGCGTATTCGGCTTAATCCTCTCGTAAATGCAAATTGCGTGATCAGTCACTTTATCCTTATAACTCCCGTTGCACACGTCGATTCACATTAGGTTGGTCCATTTAAAGTGGAGTTATTTCCACTTTGCCGTAACTTTTGCATCAAAGAGCGTTTAAAATATATTTTGATTTTTGTGCGATAAAATAATCGGAAAAATTAACGTATAAACGAATAACTCTGTAAAAGCTCTGTAAAGTAATCAAATCAAAAGTCCGCGGCAAAATCGATTCGATTTCTTCAATTTGTCGAAATTGATATTTATCTGTTTAGTATTAAAACTTTTCCTTTTGTTTCGCGACGAGATTGTGTGGTTATGCTACTGAATTTATAAGATATACCTTCCACGTTGCTGCGTTGCGCCGGAAATAGCAGAATGTGTTTTGGAACCAGTTGTAAATTTCATTGAGCGTCAGCTGCTTCTCGGGAGATTCGATGATGGACTATGAAAAGAGTAACATAGAGTGGCACATTACATCGACTTGTACTATTCATGATGACCTGTGAAATTTCATAATGGACGATATCGGAGTGAACTATAGACACAAGAATTTCTTATGTACGCAATAGCGTTCCGTGTGTGAAAAAAATCTTTGTCTTTCAAATTAGACCGCGATGCCGCGAAATTCAAGAATATCATAATCTCCGATAAAATATGATAAATCTCGCGCGCGAATTAATAAATGATGGAATAAATTTTATTGCGTCTAGGTAAAATTACAAGGCGTAATATCAAGTTTTTATTTCATGTTTAACGCGCAAGAGAGATCGTCGAATTGAATTACAATATAAAATTATAGCATTTTACATAATACGGAAAATAAATCGGAAATTATAATCTTCTCGACGTATTCAAGAAATTATACAGTAATGATATGATAATACGTTGTGTCTAAAGCTATTTCACACATGTTGCCAGAGAAAGTCGCCACAATAATTCGCAATGAGGAAATATGCAATATCCGAAGGATCCTTCGGCAATTATATTAGCCACTCACCTGCCGAATTAAGGACGCGTAAGTGAACGGAGGTCTGACGTCTGCATTCTTGTAGAATTCCCTATTTCGCTGAATTTCTGAAACCGCCACAATGAATCTCATTTATTCTATATCTTACTAAAACCACGAGTGGGTCGATGAGAGCTGATATTTTGATTATCGATAATAGATAATTTTACAATAATTTCTTTGCGTAAATATGCCTGAACAGTGGAACCACAACAAACAAGCAGACGATATACCGATCATACAAAAATATATTATGGAGTATCATTTTTAAAAGTAGATTCTTTCTGAGTTAACCGAATTATGTATTGCAAGATATATCTTCCAGTATTCAGAAAAACTAAATCTATTTATTTTTTAATTTTTATAATACGCTAGGTTTTATTATTTTCTGGTTTGTTCGAAGTTATAAATACGTCTCGAACATAAGCAAAAGAAGCAAGATCGATATATGCAATTCGCTATCTATCTAGGATTGTCTATCTCTATTCTGTGGTATTTCTGGTTTTATCTCTTATTTAGAATTTCATCATTTTATTTTATTGTTACTTTTATCGCTCTATATAAGCGGTTGCCTGCCTATAATGTAATATATACCGTACAACATTTTTCCTTTCTTCCTTTATTTCTCATTAAATTACGTTTTTCTGAATACAATGTAATATCTTTCTAACGGTTTCTAGAATCTTATATAGCGAGTAACAACTAAATTAAAAATTAAAATTATATATATTGGTATATTATTTAGAAATAGAAAAATTTTTTAATGAGATGGCGGTTTTTAAAACTGTAGAAATACCTGTGGATGTGCATGCTTCCGTAAGAAAAAAATTGTAAATAATCGTGGAAAGAGGCAATCCAAATATTGAAGTTCTTTATCATCCTTTCCGTAGTCGCTCTGAAGATCGACGACTGCAAATTAATTTCTGCTTTCGTAAAATATAATCCTTTGCATATTTAAAGCGCACGAAAGGAAAATGACTCAAACCGAACACATAGATCGCCTCTTTCGCGCTCAAAAGAAAACAAAAATATATAAACGAAAAGCCATAAAAACTGTTGTCAATCAATTGATCCAGTCCCAAGTATTCGCGCGGGATTTTGGAACACTGACGGTCTTGGTTATCTCAGGAATGATGAGTAAACACAGGAAAATGCGGTACTACACGGATAGGCAAGGGTGAAGAGGTAAAGGAGGTCAGCGTTCATGCAAAGGTGCACCCTTCCGCAAGAAAATCTCTAAGCCACAAAAGGGAGCGTGGAAAGAAGGTTGACAGTACCTTGTTGGACGTCAAGGCCAGCACGCTCCAGCATGTAGGGCAGCCCTACACGGTGGGGAGGGCGGGCAGCACAAGAAATAAGGAAACAACAAAAGCATCGATAAGAAAGAGGTTCGAGCTGGCGGATATGAGAATTTACTTCTCATCTCGTTCTGTTCTCTTTCATTTCTTTTTCTTTTCTCATCGCATAAATTCCCCTGCATCCCCTCTCTACACCTATGCTCGTCCTACGCCGCCAACAAGGTGTCGAACACTGTCGCTCACGTGATATAATCGCTACCATAAGTAATTTGTGCGTGTGGTACAATTTACGACAGGAAAAGGCACGAGACCAAGAGAGGACCGTAAAGAGCACTTGCTACAGGATCGGTATTTTCTTTTATTTCGTCAGAGTGAACATGATTTTGTGACGAACCTCGAAATGCCAAAATTATACGTACATAATACATGTATATATATATATATATATATATAATTCGTAGAATATTAACTTATTAAATAAATGAATCGAAAACAAAGTTAAGGGATGTCTAATCAAAATATATCACATCCTATAACTCGTTGAGAATACTTTTCGCGATTTCACGTTCAACAATTTTATTTCTTCGTTAAATACCATTGCAATGATATATATTCGTTTATACGTTTCTCGCGCATTTGTATGACCATAAATCGAGAAAGTGGCTCTTTCTTTATCAATAATTTAACGATAATCATACTTCGCGAATGAAATTTGTTCAAGATGGCATTTCGAAACTCGCGCATCACTCCGAGTATGATTTTGTGTTATCGTTACCTTCGTTAATATCTATTCCAGATCTATCGACGGCTACTCTGCGCCTTACAGTGCCCTCGTCATACAGTCCTACGAATAGTATTTAATTTCTGAATTGTCATTTCTTTCGTTTCACCTTTCTTTGAGACGATATTAATCCACTTCCAAGCTCATTGTATGCATCTCAAATATCAAGTTATACGTTCGGAAAATGGTTACATCGAATACATTTTAATCAAGAACCATTTAGAGTAAATAGTGCCTGAAATGTGTAAATGTGAACAGCACGGTAAATTACGCCACGTAAATAACCGTTTAAATAAAAGTAAATTAATGCCATTAAAATCGATGTAACAACGAGCAACATATCCGCATAGATAATGCATATGTATATCTGACGAATTGCACATTAATCAGTATTATCAAAAAATTCCACCGGCAATGTAACACCGAATCACCGAAAACTGTTGCGTAGTTAAAATTTTACGTAGTTCTATTTATTTCGTTCGTTATATATATATCCTTTCCGCGGTGTTGCTAAAACATTGAATCAGCGAAATTCAATTAAAGAAATAATTGATTATTTCGAGACACACGACTGCGTTTCTTGGACAAACCCGAGTCTTTATTGTCAATGTACAAGCGACTCTGACGAAACGTCAGTACCGTAGTATCGTGCGTGAAAGGATCTTTGATCGACCATTTTCCTTGTAACAGGCAAAACGGAAGAGTTAAGTCTGAAGAATCAAGTTTAGCAGCAAAACTCATCTCGGTAACGCATTCTGACCCTCATTGAACCTAGTTACTTGAAGACGCTACCTCCAAATTCACCGTTCAGGTGAGATCACTAGGGGGTTAAAGAATAAAAGACAACCTTACCTCCTGCCAAGGAAAGAGCTGACTTGTCGCTAATGCGTCGCCTGATCGGACCTGCCATGCTCGGCATGCTGCCGGGCATATTAGGCATCGGTGGTAGACCGGACATGTTCGGTATGGTCGGAAGTGGTGGCATCGGTGCACCGCCGGCCGACGGGGGTAACTGACCGCTGACCGCGGGCGACCTCACCGCGGATACCAGCGCGGACATGGATACCGGCGACACCTGAGAGACCGCGAAGTTAGGTGGTGGCTGACTCATCAGCGCGGTAGAAAAATTTAGCTTTGGTAAACTCGAGCCCGTCTGAAAAAAAGAGTAGACGAGATCGTGGAAAACGTAACGGAAAGAGGCCAGTAATGATGCTTCTGCAGAAGGATTGGTCGAATTAACGTGGCAATGAACTAACCGAACGCGTTCGGGTTGAAGGAAACGGAGCTCATGCTTCTTAAAAATCTATATTTAATTCATAAGAATCGGAAACGTTAGTTCAACCAACCCTTTTTCCCCGAGTGGCGATTTCCAAGATGACGACAGTGGGGGGGAATTGCACCAGAAGGGGCGTACTGATCTCCTAAGTGAAGTTTGAACAATAACAATAATAAGAAAGAAGCGATCCTCCGCCGAAGACCCGCGGGGAGATAAGCGGAGTGAAAAAGAATAATTGTATGTTTAAATTGAACTATTCTCACGCAGGAACGAAGTGGTCGGGTTCATTTTTGTTCATATGTCGAGTGTGATGCCGGCCATCAAACAACGGTAGTTGCGATCAGCACGTTTAAGTGATGCTCAATGCGACATGAATATTTTATTACGCAGCTCGCAGCGAGACGCACAGGTTATACGACGCGTGAGAACTATACGAGCAGAGCCCGTGTAACGGAGTCACTCACACAGCCGCGTTAAAATAATTAAGCCGTCGTCGGGTCGTCGAGCGAGTCGTCGCTGGCGGAGGGCTAATGCGATATTGGTATTCTCCGACTGCCCAACTTGTTAGGGGTTTTAATTAAGGCGATATAAAATCACCGCGCTCCCGATGAATTATTAATGCAAACTTTATGTATAAATTAGCACTCGACTCGCCGGCGCGTTAAAACTGAAACTCGCGTTGTTGTTAGCAGGCCGCGAAGAGCTCGTAAAATCTTCCAACGGCCCGGTCTGTCGTGAAAATCCGGCTTTACGATCTCTCGGAAGCGGTGCCGCGGCACCGGGGAAAGTTTACGCGTCGCGGTCGGACCGTTTTTCCGGACTCGACTTTCGCGGTATTCATTGCACTCGGTGAACTCTTAAGTGCGATTCATTGTAATTGCGAAAACATTCTCCGCCTCGAATACAAACTTCACGGCATGATTGTAATTTAAACTGCGATAATAATAATATAATAATAATTGAGTGCTGAATTTTCGCATGAAGTAAAAATTTGGCCGCATTTACCCGACAATGTACAAACCAAACGTGTTTTGCTGGAAGGAAATAGAATTTCCGGTTTATGTAAATCAAATTCGGTGTTTGCAACAAGAAATTCTATTCGCTTCAACCAAAATGCATTTGGTTTGTTCACCGACGGATAAATTCGACTCAACTTCTTTCCGCACACAATAGGATAATTTAGATGTCAAAAATTATAAAGAACAGTTGATAGAATAATAGGAAAAATTTCGTGGTTTTCTAAAGCAATTGCTTAAATTACAAATACAAAACGGTTAACTTACCGATGACTCGGATGACTTTGGTGGTTCCGGCGAAGCCATTTGTTTCGCCATGTGCAGATGGTGCATCATAGCGCCTAGTCGGTCCCGTTCCTTCTGCAACTGAATTTCTAGCTGCGACACCACTTGCATTTGGACTCTGGCTTGCGCCGTCGATCGGTCATCCAGCGTGTGCTCCGTATTTAAGTGTCTGCAATATTTCACGGATTAATTCCCGATTACACGATTATCCTGGCAAGAGCCGGGCGAGGGGAAGGAGAAAATCCGCGCGCCGGAGAGACGATGAAAGAAAAAAAGAAAAAAGTCCCCGGCACGTAACACTTCCATTCGCTAACCACGAGAAGCCCCTCAGGAGACAGCGGGACAGAGAAAATTAAGCTTCGCCGCGTCGTAGATAAGGACGGGGATGGGGGTGCCAACACCGCCAACAAGATTCCGTATTTAAGAATTTCCGTAATCCTTCTTCGTCGGCGGAACGGACGGCTGTATCGACGAGGGCGGCGCAGGTGAGGGGCGGTTAAGAACGAAGATGCGGGAAGGTCGAGGGAGTTTGAACGCGGACGAGCGTGGAGGGGGCAGAAAGGGATTAGACTGAGGGGGCATAACGATGCGGTCGAATGTCGTGAATATTAATGAGACAAAGGTAATTAGCGTTTTTCTTTTTTTTTTTTTAAGTAACGGCTTGTTTGAGGAAGTTTGCACCGACGAGCTACGTGATTACGAAGGATCCCCGGAGCCACGGCGGGCTTGCGGTTGCTCAAAGCGGATGGATGAAAGCGCTTGATGTCAATGAGATATGCTGACGCGGGCGATTTTTCCACACTCTCTTCGCCTTATCCGACCGTAATTGTCGGCTTTGTTCGTCCCGCACCTTCGATCCTGTATACTCGTTTCCCGCACCGAAGCGCTTCAGCTTCTCTCGCGAATTTATCCACTTATTCGAAAAATCCAAATTGTGCAGTAGTACGAGTGCTTGAAGATGTTTGAAATGTTTCGAGGATCTGGCCGGCTTTCGTGAACATGCGCGTTAATGCGGCGATAATGTTTCGGAGGGAAAAGCGCAAAAACTGAGATAGGTGCGGCAAACCGACATATCCATGTTTCTCGGCCGTGAAGTACTAAACTATGTCGGAGTACATGAGTGCAATACGCGGACTTCACCTACTGTGTACAGTAGTTGGACTTAAAGTGGCCGTTTGTAAGCGCGCCCGGCTGCGTTATTATTGTTCTTGTTTCTCGGACGAATAAAGGCAATTGAGGTGAAGCGTAAACGAGAGAAGAGTGAACTGAAAAACTCACTTAAGGAATGCTTGATAGTCTTCACAAATTACTTCACAGCCTGGCCACTTGCATACCCCATGGCCATAGAGGGGGTGAACCTTGTCGTTGCAGGAAGCGTCCAGCGGCTTCTCGTCCAGCGGCGTTGTGCCGTTCACCTCGGACCGCCGGCTCGAAGCTATCGAATTCAGAAGGCCTGCGATAGTTCGGCAAACGAACGTCGCATTCGCAAAAGTAAAACACATAAGAAGGGAGAAACGGGGAGTACGGAAACGAGCGAGCTCGAGACCAACTGTCCAGGTAATTGTGAAACTATCGTTTTACCATTCAATCCGGAGTTGGACTTGGGCACGCTGGAGTTCTGGTGAGATTCCTGAGTGTCCGACGGTTCCGACTTCCACGTTGGTAGGTTGTCACCCGGTGGCAAACCTGTTTGAAATTTACAGAAAAGAAAAGAAGAACGTCACCGGTTGACGAGTGATCGAGCAGGGAGACGGTGATCGTTGATATTTTCATTCCCTTCTCTTTCCACGGCTTGCATGAGGATATTCACAATGATATCTGGCGCGTCTCCCGGTGCAGTCAAGAGAACGTTCGAGACGGAGGAGAAGCAAGAGGTGACAGAATAGGTCGAAGAGGATTGTTTTCGTTCGAGCGAGAGGAATGCCTCCAATATCAACTCACCTTCGCATTCGTCTTCGCGCACGTGTCGCCGATTACACACGTGACTGCTACATTGCATCGCGCGTAGCTGTAAGTATATACGCTTGTTGTGCCGTGACACGTGACTAGCTTTCTGACGTTTATGCGGATTCCTACGTTTTGCGACAATGCGCGGTGTATCCGTGACAGAATGCAGAAATTTCAATGTGACGCGCGTTCGCACGATCCTCTCATTGTGAAAGTGATCGGGAGTGAACGTTTATCGCGCCGATAAAATCGCCGGCTTCCTCTCGCACGAAGGATACACACTGATGCAGGAAGTGCAAGATTACACGAATTCGGCTCCCTCCACTTCCGAATGTATCGTGCGTTCCTCTTTTACTCGGCGCATTTTTTTCATGTATCTTTATCGCAGTCATGAATTGCAGAATTGCACCTCATAGCCGCACGATGAAATTTATTTGATTACCGTGACGTGTCGGAATCTCCTCGACCAAACGCTCCGATTAAAATCGCGCATATACCTGAAGAAGGATTGTGGCCTTGGAGGCCCAGCCCTTGCTGCAGCAGATACTGCCTCTGCGTAATCTGCAGTTGCTGTATCAGTTGCTGCTGCTGAATCGCCAATTGCTGGAGAGGCGCCGACGCTTTCTTCTTGTCCGCCGTTTGCAGCAAGTGCGTCTGCTGAAATAAATTCAGCTGCAACTGCTCCTGCAATTGCTGCATCGCCTGCTCCAGTTGCTTCTTGTTGAGTTCCGCGAGCTGATGCTGATGCTGAAACAAATGCGCGCGGCGTCTTGCAAATATACAGAGCATCAGCAGATTCTCAGGTCTTACAACCCGCACAACTTTCGTCTGGAGCATATTTTTGTCAATTGTTTCGCTTTCAAGATATTTCACTATTCCTAAATTAAGATGGGACACACCCTGTGTGTGTAGCTAACGTGGCATAAATAGTCGACCGAACCGGCAGTTTTGCGTAACAAACGACGTGGTCGTCGCACGCCGAGAAAATCAATACCTCGAGGAAACGTTACTGATTACGGCACAATTCTTATATAGAAAATAACTTTCCATTAGTGTCTGTATTGCGGGCGAGAGATCGAATTAATGAATTTTATGAATCAAACAGCATCGTCAGCGGTTTATCATTAAACGTCAAGGGAAGTAAATATTTCGCCGCTGCCAAATTAGTTGGGCGAAATAAGAAGGAGCGGAAAAAAGGGACGAAGGCGCAGGGCGCTCGCGTCTTGGAATGATGAATAAATCACGGGCGCAGATAATTCGCGGCAGCGAGGGGGCACAAGAAGATAGAGGGCAGTTGATGGGTACCTCGAAGACAAACAACGAGACACAACGGCTGATGGCGATGCTTAATTGCTTACCTCACCCTCCGGTTCTACCCCCCCCCCCCCCNGTCTCTCTCTCGCACGCCTCGAGGATATTTTAAAACAAACTCCCGCGCGCGCCCTTTATCATATTACTATAAACAAAAACTACGCGATTAATGAAGGCAAACACGTACCCGCGCTAATAGGGACTTTCCATATTCATTCGAAACGTATGAACTTTCCGCATTGTGGCTCGTATTTGTTCCGTGCTATTTTGCCGCAATTATAAACCCTGATATTATTCGGGAACTTTTTAAGCAATCCACCCGCACCTGCGAGACATTAATTTGTAGTTTGAAATATTATTTCAGCTTCGTGTGTTTATTTATCCCCTACTAACTGAATTTCCCGTAGGTATAGCGTTTTCCAAAGGCAAAAGTTTCGCCAGCGATATGTAAAGCGAAGGAAGAGTAATTAAGCGGAACGTATAAAACATACACACACACACACACACACACACATCTCCAGCTCAGAGAGCCCCGTGCAATTCGTCCTTCGTCGAAGAATGGTTTCTGCTACAATAAACTACGCTGTGCCATGAAAAATATTTGTTGCCGCGCGTGGTATTTTTGAAAAAGAATATCAGAGTGCTTATTGGATCGTAGGCGCCGGGATAACATTATGGCTGGATAGCAAAAGTGCTTCGCGCGATGTGTATTGTTATCGTAACGATATAGAAGGGACTACCTGTTTACACAGACCAAGTATCAACCCTCTCGCTACAGCATCGAAGTTCCCACAGTATGTCGGTCGCGAATCGCGCGCGCGCACGTACACCGAAATTCAAAACCTCTTTTAAGATTAGCTTCCGCACGAGAGGTTTCCTTTGTGTTTCCGTTCAGTTTATTCAACCGAGGGTGAATTTGACGACGCGGCGTGGGTGACGAACGCGGAAGTGCAAAAATTCTACTTACGTTCTTTAAAGAGAAGTAGCCGAATCGTTCCTGGTTAGATGCATGATCGGAGGATGAATCCTGCGCAATCGAACGATCAATATTATTTATTTATCAAGGAGAGAGTTCTAATCTAATCGCGATCGGAGAAGAATCGGCAACCTCGATCGCATTAAATGCAACACACGGTGAATGCATAAATGCATTATTACATTATCGTTGCATTCAACGTGACTGAGTTGCCGATTCTTCTCAAAGCCAACAGTCGTAATAGAAAAATGTGTAGGAACGGATGCGCCCGAATCAAAATCTGCCCTAACCGGAAGTGGAAGGCGTTATTCGAATTTCCTGCAGATTTCTGCGGCTTGAACTTTTTCTCTGCACTCTTTTACGCATCTTGGAACGCAACTGACGCTGCGCTCGATGAAACAGATAGCCGTGATAAAAGAACTTATTTTCCGAAAGCAAATTCTCTTACTGCACTACGTCTGCGTTCGGAACCGCATCGAAGAAGAATTTGGCTTCGATATGTAAAAAATAAGAGTACGTTTGGTAACCCTAAGTTGCAATCGAAACGAGTTCTTTCTTTTCCGTGCACGAGCGACGAGTTCACCTGATGATGCTGCTGCTGCTGTTGCTGCAGGTACAACGTGTGTTGCTGCATGAAAGACTGTAATTGGGTGGGACTGAGTATGTGTTGCTGCAGCAGCTGTTGCATCTGATGGAGGCCGCTTGCCGAGCTGAGCATCATCTGCGAGGGAGTCTGCGACGGAGGAGCCCCTGGCGGGCCTCCGGGTGGCGGGCCCTGGGAAGGATTCGGTGGTGAACCCCTCTGCGGGGCCTGCGGACTCTGATGTGGACTAGGCTGGGGCCCTGGTGCCCCCGAGCTGGGCTGTTGCGACTGTTGTGTGATGATCGGCTGCTTTTGCTGGGTCATGGGTGCTGCTGTCACTGCGTGTCCAGCGGGACTGAGCTTCCCATTGCTTTGGTACTCGATGCTGAGCTCCTGCTGCTGCTGTTGCTGATCAGCAACGCCGCTGCCACCGCCAGTCTCTCCTATGTTTCCCCTGCCGGAATCGCGGCTACGCGTCGCCTGCAGGCGCTCCCTGTCGCGGCACTCGCGATCCCGCGACGAGAAGACGCTGTCGCGCGCTTGTTGTTGCTGCTGCTTCAGGGCTGCGAACAGCGAAGTAGCCTGCAATACGAAAATGGAGATCGAGAGCTCGATCAAAGACTGTCTAGCGTACACGTATACGTAGCGTGTTGCTTAACAAAAAGAAGCGATCTTTCTCATCAAAGGAAAAACCGACCGATTAAAACCAAATCACGGTAGCGATATATTATTTAGTTATCGTGAGGAGACACAAATGTTTAGCGTATAGTGACGCGGTGAATCTACCCTCCCGCCGAACGAGAATCCCTGATCCCAGAACTCTGATATTATAATCCTTCCATAACCCACTTGCCAAGAAAAGTACTACTTAATGTTAGAGTCCGGAGATCACTACACGCTAAACATTTATATATCCTCCCACGATAACTAAATAGCATATCTTTACAATCGCGACTCGGCTGGTCTACCTTTCCTTTGGCGAAGTTTGCTTTTAGCAGTAGAACCGTGGCAAATATAAATAATCTCTCTCATTATTGTCCGTATCGTCGGATGGCAATGACGAGGCGAGATCGTGACACGTTGTCGTGCAACATTGTCGAAAGGACACTCCGAGTATCGGGGGGTACAGATCGGCGATATTTACGTAGCGGAAAGTTACAAGATAAGACGAGGGTGGAACGAGAGAGAGAGAGAGAGAGAAGGAGAAAGAGACAGTAGGACGCGGCATCACGTAAAAGGGGGTGAGAGGAGGAGCAGAGAGCAGCCCCGGGCGGAATATTCATGATATAAATGCCACATAATGTACATGTGTTAAACTTCTACCGTATTTTGAACAATATTGATCTTATCTAATGGTATTCGAGCGGACCAGAGCTCGGCTGCTCCGTCATCATTGGCTGGCTCGAAGGAAAACTCGCTGTTGTCTGAATGACGTCGGCTGGCTCGAGTCTCCTCGGCTGTTTACACAGCGGGATTTGTTTTATTAAGTTCTATCATCAAGCAGATTGTCGAGTGTAAAGGCGGAACCGAGTATCCCAGCCTCTCTTCCGTTCGCGTCTCGGCTCTACGGTAGGGAACGATCGAGGGTCGAAACTTTCGTGAGCGTTCCAGATATCTCGATGAGTTCTCCGTTATTATTGTGTTATTATATGATATAATAGGTACGGCATTAGACAAATTCCTGGTTCCTGAGAAATTGATTACCGCTCGTTTATCTCCAGAGCTACCTTCCGTGGAATTAACTGGATCTTATTTTCCCGTTGCGCCGTCGAAAAGGATTTGCGCAATGACGATCAATATATTTTATATATGCGTATATTGGCATATAGCTGTCTCTTATAATAACGCCACCGAGGCGCATGCGGTGCTTCTCAAATCCAAGATTATTCTCGGCAGATGTAGAGCTATAATGTTAAAGCGACTGAAATATTTAACGCATTTCTGCAGCGGGCACCTTATCGCGCCGTCGCTTTACGGCGAAGGATTAAGAATTCCGACATTCAATCGCAGAATATAAAGGCTCCTCTTGCGTTAAAAATAACATTATAAAGCAAATTATGCGCGAAGATTTTATTTTATGCGCGTTACGTCAAGTGAAACGTTCGTCGATATTTTTAGCGAAACCGATGAATACATCTCTTGTACATCGCTCTGACTAATTGCTCGTCCTTGTAAACACTTATCGCTTATATTACGTGTTGTCGCTTATATCAATAAATAAAAGACACATTCGCTTTAAAACAAGTATTTCCAATTCGTCCGCACACTTCGGCCTTGCACTTCGTGCCGTCACCAGAGCCGAATTGCATAACAAACAATCATGCGCAACAAAGTAATTGCCACAAACACACGTGTCTCGGAATGCATTGCTTGTGCAAATATTTATCGATCCAAGAGATCCATCGGGCAACAGGATAGCGAAACAGCTTGTCGAAGACGCTCGTACGCATTTCTCGATATATATGTTTATTCCGCGAAAATATTCCGTCATCATTTACCTATTCACACTCGCGCGGATCGGTCGCGGTGTGACGCGATTTAACGGTTCAGCAACGCTGCAACGTATAGTTGTTAAAGTTTTGCGAAACAAATCCCTAATTTTCTTCGCGAATTCTTCTTCGGTCTCTTCGCGTCTTCTTCACGGAGGAAAGTAAATGTGTCACGATTTTTCCCGAAACTATAAAACTGGACTGCAGCAACGTCAAATAGCGCGAAAGTTTGAATCATCGACTCTCGCGAGATCGTGTTTCAATCGATAAAAATCAATCGCACACTCTCTCGTCACAAACGCGATCGCGTATTTGGTCGTGAAACCCCACGAACGATCGACGTTGCGCTACGTACAATCAAATGATGTATTCCATAATTATATTTTGCACAACCGCGCGGCTGAGATGGGAACGATGTTATGCAAAAATTCGTTCGTCGACATAATTTGAAAATCGAGTTACACACGACGGAGCCGCGACTACGCAAAACTCTGCGCGTTAAATTTAAATATTCGAAATTGCCGCATTCATTGGCTCGACTCGGTTTTGCATATCACTCGGATATAGACATAATTGAAATTATCCGACATTTGATTAATGATTCCAGCCGCGTCTGAGCAATTTGATCAACCGGGGCTCTCGGGTTCTTGTGATGCGAGCAACTCGCGAGCCACGGAAGACGTCGGCGAAGATAAATTTAAAATACGTTTGCCTTCACGGCGCTACGAAACGATTGTCTCTCGGGCGGAAGGCCGTGTGTCTTTTGCAAATCCAGCACGCCGAGTCCTATGCTAATCTTATTTGTGTACGATTACGTATGTTTATAACATGCAAAGAAATTCCGCGGCGCGCGTTATCAGTGTTTAGTCAGGAGCACCAACGCGTGGCGCTTCGGCCCGAAGTCTGCGAGGCAGAGGAAAGAAAGAAAAGGGAGGAGGAGAGGACGCGGCGGGGGGTCAGAAGGCGACGAAGAAAAACAGAAGAAAGGGCACATCGCACCGCGTCGCGCGGAATTTTGCATGTGTGCGCACCGGAAAATCCTTCCAAATTCGTTCCCTTCCACCCCTCCCCGTCCGTCACCGTAACTACGCGAGTCCCGAACGTCGAATAATGGCTTTCATATTTTCGCGTTACGTTATCGTTAAGCTGTGCAATTTGCAGCATGGATACAGCTCATTTCTGCACGCGATAGACACACTGATGATTATCAACGTCGAATGTAACCGCTATCATAAATCGTATCACAAAAACTAGCATTCTTCGAAAACGAATTCAAACGGAAGAATTCTTACATTATTTTCAGGTCGTTCTTCACCCCGAAGAAATGAACTGATATATTCACGAAACGTCGGAAACAGATTCATGAAGGACGCGGCGCTAATTCCGAAGCCGGATTAAGATTACATTCCAAAATGTTCTTTTCGCGGAAAATTTTACTTGATGGTCTCCGAGTGATGAAGAGGGACCAATCGGGAAAGATCATCAAGTTTTGGAAAATTGACAGTAAAATTTTCCTCGAAAAAAAGTTGTGGAGTGTAGCTTAAGTGTTTCTCCACACCATGAAAGCCTAAAAAAAAAAATATCATTCCAAAATATAAGAATTCTTATTTTTCAATTATCGAACAAAGTGAGAAACAACGCGCATGCTGGGACAAATGGTGAGCTACGTTGTTTGCCCGTTCAATTAATAAGACGCGACAATCAGCAGGACTGGTTTAATCCACTTTTCGGCTTGTCTCTCCGTTTCTCGTACGGTCGTCCTTTAATTCGTTAATTAATGCCGACCCCGCATCTCTCTCTCTCTCTCTCTCTCTCTCTCTCTTTCGTCCCTTTCTTTTTCTTTTAACAAAGAAACGTGAAATCTTAAACTTATAACCGCGACAACCGCGCGGAAGGGGTGGCGATTTTCGTTACTCGTCGCTGTAATGTATAGGGATTTTCGTCGGGGGGGGGGGGGGGGGGGGGAAAAAAGGGGGAAANACGTGTGTACACGGGCAGCAAAGGAAAGAGATATAAGAGTGCGGAAGAATGAAAGTATAAGAGCCGACGTTGGAGGGCCATCGACTGCAGATAAGAGGGACTCCTAAGACTCTTTTAAGAAAAGGTTAAATAAAGGTCGGAAGCTGCGCGCTTGTTGTTGGCTGTTCAGATTCCTTCGACCCCTGCCTTCCACCCCCGATCCTCGTCGCGGGTAACGCCACTTATTTGAATCCCGGAGGCTTCCTCGAGTTCAACCCCCCCTCTCGCGGCCTCTCATATCTTTTATATATTAGAATTTTCACCAACGTTCCGCCCCGCGAGCTCCGCTCCGTGTTTACTGTTTGGATTTATCCCTCCGCCCCCCCTCTTCCCCTTGTCCCTACTTTTCTCCGCCGTCGCGGTATCCTACTGTGCCGAAACTCCCCATGGCTGTATATGAGTTCCTTGTGTACACCCTCGTCGTGATACTTTCGGTTCTCCTCGTTGGCGAACTTTCCGCTGCGCCTCGTCTTCCGCTTCATCGACTGAGTGGAGGGTGGAAGGTCGCGAAGATGATATTTAGCCAACTCTGACTCACTAGTGTTTCCTGTCGCGTCCATCGCGCGGTCTAATATCAGTCAGTTTCGTCAATGTTACGCTGCAGGCGACTTCGCTCTCGTGTGAAATGGCTCGGAGAATTCGTTGTGCTTTCGTTAGTGACGTTTCCGAAACGAACGGCGAAAACGAATAAAGTCGCAAATATAAATAGAGAATTGTACGACGAATTTTTGTACGATATAATGACAGTAAAAAAGGAAATGACTTCCCGGATAGTTCTACAATTTTAATGATCCATCAAACGCGATATTCGTGGCACTGAACGAGAGAGAGAGAGAGAGAGAGAGAGAGAGAGAGAATTCGTGGAAATCATGCATTCTGCACGATACCGGGATTTGATATAGCCTCTTAACGACACGATTGTCGTGATTTAATAACGAACAATCGGCGCCAATCGTTTTGTAACCGTTCGACAAGGTAGAAAGAGGGAAAGATATCAATATCAGCCGATAGGAGGGAAATGAATACAAAACGGGGTATCGAAATTTCTGTTGTGTAGGCGATTGTTCGATAGCC